GCGATACAAGGCTCTTCAGGCTTCACCTGTGCCTTCTCCGCCAGTCTCCTTTCTCTTCCTATTGTCTCCTTTCTCTTTTCTCCAGCGTATTCCTAAGGCCATGTTCCCGCACTGATTTTGCTCCCGCTGCTCCCTTTTTTTCTTCCTAAGCCCGTATGGGCTCTGAGCATGTTGGACGGCTTCTAGGAAAGGCGGCATTGAAATGCGAGCTCTTCGAGCAGGCTGTTCCTGCGCAATCAGAGCAGCTACTGCTCAGCCCTTGCATTTTTCATTTTTACAGAAATTGGAGCTTGTTGCACTTCCATTACAGCATCTTTTTGAATTTGTCTCTTCCCACAAATGGGTTTCAAAGCTTTAGAGCAGTCTGCGTTTTTTGAAAAAAGCCTAATTGAACATTAATAGAGTGTTTGTGCCTAATTCGCTTAGGCTCCATGGGAAGCCGTATGTTGCTTTTCATACTTCTTCCAGTATTGCTTTCCTGAAGCTTAATCCCCTCGTCTACATTAACTGAGCAATGAATTTCTTATTATGATGAACTTAAGTAACCTGTAAACGCTGGTATTAGGTATCAGCATTTGAATTTATCGTTGCATCCCTGTTGCCACAGAGCAGGACTAGGATGGTGTCTCGTTGCTATCAGAGTCTTCATTTTCGCAGAGCGAGTTGGTCTTCTGCATAACTTTGGAGACTCTTTAAGATCTGGCATGAGAAATACTGCTGCTATCATAACACCTTCACAGCAGTCCAGGGATTTTCTATTTTCTTTCTTACAGTTACCAACCTGCTTCTTCACTGTAGTTTCTTGCCTCCTCGCCCAAAGAATATCACTGTGTTTCTTTTTAACTATTAAAATGCAGCTTGCTGGCAGTTTTAACACTTTTTGACCTAAATCCATTCACCCATCTCTCCATCACCTTTCCTTATCCTCACTACCAGATACAATACTTTGCAGTGGGCTTTGTGTTTCCTTGGATTTGCCTAGTCTCAAAGTCATCCTGGTGGTTGCACCATCAAGATAATGTTCAGATAAGTTCACCTCCGAGGACACAAGTTCATAAGAAGCTTGTTAATACACCTATGGTGGAGCTGTTTCCGTTTCCTGCTGGACTCTGTGATTTTAAGCAGAGTTTTAGAAAGGGCCTCCAGTGCTCTCTGTGGAGAACGCAACGGAAGGGGCCACTGCGCGGCTGAGCCTCTCATGCATAGTCCATCGCTGCAGTCCGGCCTCTCTCCAGTGCTATGCAGGGCAATGTGTCTGCACATCTCCTCACTCCTTCGTGCAACTGGGAGTCTAGTTTTCATGGGCTTCCTGGTATCGACAAGCATGTTGCTATGTTTTTATGTCAGAGAAAACAGACACAACTTTGGAGCCGGAGCAGAAGGTAGGAGTTTCCCATGAGGAACATCTAGCAGCTTCACATCTAGCAGCTTCCTGTCATCACATCCTGCACCAGTGTCGGGCTGGATTTCCGCTCTGTGCCGCTCCTTTAGTCATTAGTGGAGTAATATTGCTCATTATCCAGCAGATCCTCTCAACAGCCCATGCGACAGGTATCATTTTCTTACAGCTCACGGCAGATGAAACTGAGGCGGAAAGGTGAAATAACCTCTGCAAGGCCACTCAAGAGAGCAGGAGATGAGTTCCGGTTAAGACTGTATGGGGCCGGGCTGTAATCTCTGCTTGTGTTTGGACCTATCAGATCATGCTGGTTTTCACACAGGAAAGCCTCCATTACACAATAAATTTTTTTGCATGAGTTCACCAGAGTCATAATAAGCTTATCAAGGCGATAGCTGTTAGGATAAGCCCTACAATCTTGTCCCTCAGTCAGGGAGGAGACAAATAGAAAAAAACCCCGGCTTTTCCAGATGTGTCAGTCAGCTGCTGGCCTTCCCTCTCATGACAAGTGATCAAGAGGATTTCCTACAACCAGCACTCCGTGTTTGTTGGTATGGGAAATTACCAAAGTGTTCAAGATCCTCACATCACAGGCTGTTTCTTTCGGTCAGACTGATCTCATGCGACTTTGCTACTGGCAGCACTAAAATTGTTCCAGAAGCATTGCCATATGCAGCTGGCATGCTGCTCCAATGGGCTAGATACAGATATTCACCAAATCTTAGCTTAACACATATGTCCTTATCCAAACTGCCTATTTGTCTTACGTAGGTGGATTAGTAACCTTTAAAGCACTGTTATTCTGTCTTTGTAACAAGTCTTGGGTGCCGTTTTTTGTAATGCAACTGAGTGCTTTTACAAGCACTGTGAGACTTCATGGGAGCACAATTTGCAGAATTTGCTGCCTTTCCACTTGCCTTGCAAGCAAATCCTGAGTCCTTTCTTGTCACTGCACCCCAGTCTGCTGGTGAAACACTGGATAGCAGACCATCAGCTACCCCAACAGAGCTTTCTGAAAGGCACAAAAAGCGTAGCGAGATACCTAACTCTAATGTCTTTCCATGAGAAGGGGAGACTCAGTTGAGGCTGCGCCCTGGCTTGCCCTGACTTCCAAAAGTGAAGCCGCTGCAGGGTATAACCCACACGGGGTGCTCACAGGGACAAGAAGTCACTGCGCCTAAGGGATGGCCCCATCCCAGCAGTCATTGGGGGAACCTCTTACCAAGCCATGGGCATCTCCTGCACATTTTGGCTTCCCTAGGTGAGATTATTCTGCTTTAGCAAAACCAGAGCTTTTTAGATGGGCTTGAAGGGAACCACTGATAGATAAGGGAACTATGGCTTGGGCCATGGCCCTGCCTGGCTCCAGACCAGCAATGAGATTTACTCTCCGCAGGCATAAGCTTTCAAGCAAATGCACTCCAAAGCCACGAAAGCAGGCAGAGCTTCGAAGGGCTGCCAAAGCTGCCTGCAGCTGCTCTGGAGGCAGAAGATGCTGATTTAGAGAGACGGCGGCTTCTCTGAGCCCCGCTGCAGGGATGTCTCTGCTGAGCAAGCCTCACTCAGCCTTTGCCAGGAGAGATGAACGTGAAGGTAAGACGAAGGGCATGCACCATTCACTGTCTGTGCTGGGTTGTACCTTTGGGAGAAGGACTAATGCTTTGCTTGGAAGAAGCTGCCACGGAGTCACTTTAATCACCTGAGATCTAGAGCAAAAACCCTCTAATGTGACAGCAGTGTTCGACCTCCTCAGGCAAAGGGAGAGGGGAGATACGAAACAATGGTCCTGGGAAATCCAGGCCCAGATTTATCTGCCTGGGATGCCTTTGGGAGAGCAACGTATTAGCCAGGTGGGTTTGCGGCCGTCGTAATTCACGGCTTTAAGTCTCTAGCCCCCCTGGCAGATGCCCTTAGCCAGGTGCAGAAGCAACAATCCTGTTGCTGCTTTGGTGTCCCTCATGTGCTGGCTCCCAACCAAAGAGTCGAAGGAGAAAGAGCTGAGTGAATCCATCTCACTGAACTGTGAATAAAGTCAAAATATCCATGCACAACTCTTGGAAGAGCATGCATTCGCTGTTGCCATGGTCATCCAGCTCTGTAAAGCTCTGAGTAACCTGAGTGCCCCAGGCATTTTGCGGGAATCTGGGCAGTTCCTGGCATAGCGGGTCTTCTTTCACCCCAGGTACAAAATTTTTCACTCATCATCTTTATCAGACGTAAGATTATTTAGGCCTCCCTTTTCCTATCCACCATCAGACCTATTTGTTCCCAGGTTCTGAAAAATGCAGAAAGTCATTATCGTAAAGACGGTATTTTTCATGGTAACTATGAGTTCCTACTTTTAGAAAATAAGTAGCTATTTAACTAAGAGCTTTGTAATAGGTCAAGCAGTGAATAGAGAAAAGGAAAAGTGGGAGCTACCTGCTTTACTGGTAGGATTGGACATGAAAATAGTTCGCTGGTATCTTCAATGTTAATTTATTCAGGACCCTCATCGCTGGATAAATACAAATTAAAAATTAAACGCCCCTGTAAAGTAATGCATGAAACTAAAGCACCACAGAGAAACTTGGAGAAGCAAATAAAGCTGCCACCACAAACTACGTAGCACTTCAAAGGCAGGACAGAAGGGAAGGCTGCTTGGAAAAAAAGAAAAGAAAACCAAGCAGTAGGAAATGGAGAGAGGAGGAGATGGTGGTGGTGGCAGCAGCAAGGAGGAGGGAAGAAAAACCAATACCTAAAAAGTAAATCACTGCAGTGGATTTTGGCCCTTCCAGGAATGATCAGCCAGCACCTCTGGCCTCTCTCCAGCACCTCAGGGAAGAGGGCGAAAATAACCTTCCCCTTCTGGGGGCTGTGGAGAAAATCGGCCCTCCAACAAGAAAAGTTTGGGGTCCCCATCACCACAATTCCCTAGCCACGTAAGCTGACTCCAGAAGCTGCCGCAAAGGCAAGCAGCAGGTTTTTAAATATCACTAGGGTAGCCTAGTGGTCCCAAGGACAACATTTTGTCATCATCGTCCTCAAAACAGTCGCCGCTCCTAGCAGTTATCTGCAGACAGTTCTCCCTAATCCAGCTCCGACCAAGTATACATTAAGTTTCCTGAGCTGAGGGCAGATGGTTGAGAAAAGCCTAATTCTATTCAATATACATACCCAAAGGGTTATCTAAGCAGCCAATTAAAAATGCAGAATCTTTTTTTTATGT